GGGCAGGAAAGTCCGTGAGACTCTTATCTCCAATTAACCACTAGAAAAGAGGAAGTGGCACTGTGGCTCAAGCGGTAGAGTGCTCACATTGAGTTGAAGAGCGCAGGGATAGCGCCCAAGCCCAGAGTTCAAGCCCCATGACTGAAAAAAAAAAAAAAATCATAAGTACTTTTTGACCTACCCATCCACAGGAACTATAACTGATTACATATTAAATATATATTACCATTTCGTCAAGATTGTCACATTTGAGACTTCTTTTGTCATCTGTTTTCTTTGATTTATATGTTATAGAAGCCGTATTACATTTCCCCTTTGGATGATATTTTGTCTTACTTTTCCCTTGTCTTCAGAAGCCTGCTTTATCCTAAGTCAAGAATCTGGGGAAACAGTCCCTTGAAGCTCATATTTACTGTAGAAGAAACATTATCATGTCATAAGTATGACAATACCTGCAGCACCAGTAAGCTTATGGATATTTGTTCCTGATGATTTTCTTCAGGCTTCATTAGATCTGCCTTCATGGGACTTAAGAATTGCATCTGAGATCTTGCTTTTTGAAAGGATTGGGTTCTAGATTTAGTAACAACAGCAACAACAATATCAGCAATAGTAGTAACCATGGCTTTTGATGTACCCATCTATATAACAGTCCAGTGTCATTAACCCTATTCTCCTTGTGCAGCCATCACATCCTAAGTATTATAAGGTGAAGTTTCTGGTTTCCTGGAGATTTTTGTTTTGTTTTCCTCTTTCCAAGAGAACTGCCACAAAATTTCCTGAGTTTTTCTTTTTATCAGTATTTTAAAGTAGAATTGAATTAGTGAAGCTATTGTTCATCAACTTACACAAAACATACTGAAAATAACTTTTAAAATGAAAATATCAGCCACTTAAAATAAAAAGATGCTATCCTTTTGCTTCTTGATTCTCTTCTGAAAGAATGATGTCAGAAGCTCAGGTAATACTGAAGTCTAATGATAAGCGGGAAAGAAGAAAGACCGTGCTTGTAATGTATAGGATGATATCACTTACCTTTCTTTAATTTATTTTTCAAGTTTGTTTAATAATACTTAGACTTGAGCTTTCTTTCATTCGTTTGATCCTAAGACAACAATGAAAAATTTTAATTCACTTTCCTGTGTGTTAAAATGTATGATTAACTTTCAGTGTTTTATAAAAATATAAAAGCTAAAACTACCTTTCTTTACAACATGAATTTGGTTTACTTATTGCCATGGAAGCCAGGTAAATAGTAATACACCCCAGTGGACCTCTATTTTTTATCCACATAAATTGTATTACTAATTCTTCATAAGATCTTTAAAATTTTTGTTACCTCAGTAAAGGAAGAAAAGGTTCAAGCACTGGAAGAGAAGCAGTCAAACTTTACTTGACTACAGAAGGAGTTGAGGGGGTGGAAATGTGTGTTGCTGAGCAAAAGAGTTTTCAGAGCAGCCTGTTCTGGTATTTTATACCAATTATGTGCAGCTATTGCTTTGAATAATTTTGCCGCCCTGCTGAGATTTCCTTTTTACAAATCCTGGAGCAATTATAAGATGGAAGTCTGGAATGTATAAACAACGTCCTTTGAACAGTAAATGAGCCTCATTCTTCTAAAAACTCAAGGGTAGGAATGTACGACCTCTTATGCTATGGTTTTCTGCCTTCCCTTCCTTCTTCAACAAAAGCTGACAAATTAGCATCTACTTCCAGAGTGTACAGAAACATGACTTTTGGCCTAAAATAATAATAAATCACATCAAATTAACAAGATCTATTGCTACAATACAATAGCCAGTGTACTGAATACCTGTTCAATACAACTATTAATTATATATTTCTATTTGATTCTATTTCTCTTTTTAACCTTAACACAAGAATGTTTAGTGGGTTACCTTTTTCTCTGGCCCTGAAACAGATTGTTGTATACTGCGGGGAAACACACAACACCCTTAGAACATAACATTGGGCTGAGTTTCCAAATGCCAACTTGTTTTATGTAACAAAGCAATCTGTGTTAACCATAGCAAACAAATAGAAAATACCTTAAAGAGAAGTCAACTGACGCTTGGAGTTAACTATATAAAGGGTAAACTCCATTATTTACTGAACTTACAGACCTCATACAGTGTTTACGATAAGGTCTGGAGAGTTGCCTAGCACTGGAAAATATACAATTAAACAACATATTTGAGTAGCCTTTTATGTTGGTACTGCCAAAAGACCATCATTACACTCACATGCTAGTCATTCTTGGAACTCTTAACATAAACAGGAATAGAGAACATTAATTTGTAATTCTGTCTAAGTGCATGGGGGATTTTTATTTTCTTTTATTCACAGAAACCCTCTTAGAAACTAAAAGATAGCAGTAATGAAAGAGTCCCTGCATGAGAATGGCTTCTTTGACTATGGAAGAAAAAAATTTCTTTGACTTTTGTTTTCTTTGCAACTAAGCCTCAGAAATTATTCTGCTGTCTGGACTTTCATTTAAGCTTCTATAAATAAGGGAGATTGTATTTAAATTAACCACAAAATGAATTTTATTTCTTTAGAAATAACACTAAAATTAATACAAAATGCACTTCCCAACTTCCTTCAGACCTTCCCCCCTAAAACTAGCAAGTGCTAAGAGACAACAAAATATTACAGATTAAAATGAGCCAAAACACAGGCAACATTTTAAGTACACCTTGTGTTTACATAGTAGATCTAACTCAGCTCAAAAGTAAGGCTGATTTTTCAGTAATGATGGCAATAAGAAGAGGGAACAATATATAACTGAAGTGATTTTTTAAAAGGGAAATGGAAGAATATAAAAGATTGTTTTATAGTTCTGTCACCACGAAATAGAAATACATATTTTAAATACACATGATGGGTTTTCCCTACAGTATTTTTTTTTCCTATCAGTTTCTCAGGGATGTTTGGCTTTATATTGCTTTAAAAAATAGTTTGTATAGACAACAAAATTAACTACAGCTAAGTGGCCTGACATAAAAAGGCAAAGGTATGATTTAATGCAGGGAGGAAGATTTGAGCTCATTTAGGTCTCTGGATCCAGCTATTCCAGCTGCTCTGCTTCCTTTCTGAAATTAGGGAATTTACATAGCATGCTAATAGAGATTTGAGCTGCTAGGCACAACATTTACCTATTATGTAGAAGAAAAAAATATCTGTCAACCCGAAATAGAAGATTGGCAACATATTTACATACTTGAGTGACAGAGAGTCTACTGTTAAAAAGTTGAAATAATTACATCTGGACATGATTAATTAAACAGCAATCTACACATGGTGAGAACAAAGGAGGATATTCTTAGGAGAGGATTTAAGGGCTCAATAGCTATGTGCACAATATCATATAAAATGATGTTTATCAAAATGAACTCCAACAAGTAAGAGGGTTTTTTTTTATTAAACTGTTTGTAGTTCCTTCCCCCGCTTCTTTCCTTTATTCTTTGGTTTATTCCCTTCTGTTTTTTTTTTTTTTTAATTTCTGTACCCTTTGTCTTGTATATAAGTTTATCTGATTTGGGGAGAGGAGAGGGAAGCACAGAAATGGTGGGACAAAGGGTGAACTAATCAGCAGTGAAACCCACTAGACACTATATTGTAAATGAACTATACAACTTTGAGGGGAGGGATGTCAGGAGGGGACAAACTGGGAGAGAACATGCAAGTAGGTGAGAGTGTTCAAAAGGAAATACACTAGTTAACTGACATACACAATGTAGCCCCTTTGTACATCACATTCACAATAACATTTTAAAAAATCAAATTAGTAATAGAAATTAAACAGTTTCTAGGAAAAAGAAGTTACTAGAACTGTAACTTCACAAAACAGAGAAATATTTACCTCCTAACATAGCCTGAAATTTGGTAGTTTATAGCCTGCAAATACAGACAACTTTTGTTCTTTAGTTTCTTTTACAATATAAATCTCCATTTCTCAAAACATCATCAGAATATATGAAAGATTAATGTTTTTGTACATTTTTAATTGTAAAAATGCTGTACAGAGGGGTTTCCGTTACATAAGCTTAATAATGAGTACATTTCCTATTAAGCATTGTTGCTTCTCCTTTGTTTTCCCCCTACCATCCCTTCCCTCCCACCTCCTCACCAAAGTTGTAAAGTTCCTTTTCAACATAGTGTTTTGTACATCTCATTGGAAAGATTAATATTGACTTAGACAAAAAGATTTTCTCTGCACAGTTTTTACCTCTACTTTTTTGGATACTTTATTGTCAATTGCAAGAGATTAACTAGTGCTTGAAATCTCTTAAGTACACGAATATGATTTGACCATTCTTAGACATACTTATGTGTTAAGAACATAGCCATTTCCAGGTATATATGTAAACTCGACTTCTTCTTTTCTAGAAGAAAAAAAACTACTATAAACTTTTTCTTACTTTTTAATGGCTCAAGATTTGAGGTATAAATGACCAATTATTTTGTGAACTTTAACAATTATCCTACGTAAGATAATATTTTTCTTTCTTTTTAAATAAGAAGTTTATTTAAACAACAAGACGCTTGACTTGAGGGGAAAACTATCTAGGATTCTTTTTTTTAGAGTAATTTACCCCTACTTAAAGACAGATTGCTCTACATTAACAGCTATGTACAACAAAAAAGTTATAAAATTTTCCTTGGTTTTATGTCCTTGATAAATGAAAACATTAAAATTCTCCAATCAAACAAGGTATGCAAGGAATTTTGTTGTTTTTTTCTTTTTCTTTTTGTTAAAACAGTGAGAGCAAAATAACTTACTGAAATATAAAGATAAAAGCTGAATGAGCATGCCACGAATGGAGAAGGGGAATATCTTCACAGAACCAGTATTTTTCCCCCTCCCATCTCCATTTGATATACCATGGGCCATTTAGTTTAAAAGAAAAAAAAGACAAGCAATATGCTTGTGCACATACATCAGTTACTTTACGTACAATAAAGAAATAGGGAAGGGAAAATTAAAGAATAGAGAAAACTATACTGTAGTAATCAGGATGTGGTGGAACCAAATTGCAGTTTTCTAATTAAGAATGTATTCTTGGTCTATAAGAACAAAGTTCTGGAGCAAAGTAGCAGGTTCTCTTTTTTAGTAGACACCTCCTGTCTGCTGCTGGAACACGTCAATTGTATCTCCATCCTCCATTTCCAACTGTGCAGGTGTGTCTGCTTCATTGATTGGCTGCCTATCAAATCGGAATCTAATCTGCCTCATTGACAAATCCTGTCGTTCACAATAGACTTTCATTGGTTTACTAAGTGGTGTGTGCTTCTTAATCTTAAATTGCACCACAGGACCATCCTGTCCTGCAACCTTCAAATTAATATGATCCTTGTTCACGGTCTTGATTCCTTCCTTGGGCTTTTCGTTGGCCATCGTGACCACCGGAGTCTCCTCAGATGCCACTTCACAAAAGAGGTCTCCGGTCCCGAAGGAGCACACAGGCAGCACCACCGTGGCTGGAGGAGGTGGCAGCAGTGGGGCTTGAACTCTGGGCCTGGGTGCTGTCCCTCAGCTCTTCAGCTCAAGGCTAGCACTCTACCACTTGAGCCACAGGACCACTTCCGGCTTTTTCTGCTTATGTGGTGTTGAGGAATCGAACCCAGGGCCTCATGCATGCAAGGCAAGCACTCTACCACTAAGCCACCTTCCCGGCCTCAAGATAATATTTTTTCTATACAGAATAATTCTAATTTTAAAATTTACATTTTCACAGAAATCTCTCTGTCCTATGAGTCACTTTAAGCTATTCTCCATTTTGTTTTCTAAGGGTAACTGAGAATGATAGCTGAGATATGGTTGAATTTTCTACATGGTAACATTATATTTTCCATTTATATCCAATATGTAAAATTTCTCTCCGTAGTCAGTGTTTGTTGATATATTGAGTCATGGTTCATTTCTGACCACTGCCTCTCACAATGGCGCCAAACCAGGGTGCCAGTTGAAGGGATGGTTTCCTGGCTTGCTACTCTTACTCCCGTAAGCTATTTAAGATAGCTGTCACTTTTTGCATGCACTTTCCTGCTGCTCATCAAAATGTTCTCACTGATATCAGTGTAATTGCTTGTTCAGTATTCTGTGCAGATGTGGAGATTTTGGTGTAGATTGCATCTTCCTGGTGTTGTACTGGGCAAATGATAAGTAGGTGTGGGTCTGTCATTCTCAGAAACTGAAGCCAAGAATTATGTCATGACTCTTTAGTTGGTCTGCAATTAACTTTCTCTGCATATATTATAAGGCTTATTGCGCAGGTAATCATATTTAGGTATATGGAGTATTTAAAGGCTGAGAGACGTGCTTACTCTGAGAGAGTCTATGGTGTCACCTGATAGAATCAGGCTGTTGTTAGCAGGCCTTAACACATGAGGTGGGAGTCAAGGATGCTTTTTGGAGGGAGGTGGATAACATCATTCACTTCTGTTCCAGAGAAAATGAAAAGGTTCTGTGGATGAAGCATCATTTGTGATGTGGTCAGTGGTATTAGTTCAGAGTTGGGACAGGAGAGTAGTGATGGTATGTGTTTTTGTCTGCTCAGGATACCATAGGAAAATACCACACAGTGACTTAAATAACATAATTTTTTTCACTGTTCTAGAGGCTAGAAGTCCAAGATCACATGTGGTGTTGGTAGGGTTAGTTTCTAATGAAGCCTTGCTCCTTGCCTTGCAGATGGTCAGCCTTTCACTTTGTCCTCTGAACAGCCACATGCTCCTGCTGTTTCTTCCTCTTTCTACTGCTTTCTCTGTTTAACAGGACTCTGAGCGTATTGGATTAGAGCCCATCCGTGTAACCTCATTCAACCTTAAAGGTCTGTCTCCAAATACATTGGAGGTTAGGACTTCAACATGTACATTTGGAGAAACATTATTCAGTCTCTAACAGTATATTTGGGATGGTTGAAAGGAGCAATATGGATCTAATCTGCAAGTATGTATGGATATCAGGCAAATGGAAAGTTCCTATTATGTCCTTTGGGTAATTATGAGTTTTAATCTGAGGAATGACAACATTTTAGGAAGAACAACCTACAGATGCATGGAAAATGAGTTGGATGGGAAGGGAAAGACCTAAGTATAGGTCTTATTTGTATGTGTTTTAAATGATTTCTTTGGGTACCTTGTCAAAGATTTTTTGAAAGCTGTTATATATTCATTCACTTAAAACTAATACTAACTTTTTTTTTTACTACAGAAGACACAAAATCTTGAAGTACAAAATAAAATGTGGCTGTGTCTTAGTTTATATTCTGTTTCTGTAATGGAACATATGAAACTCCCTGAAGCATTAAAAAATAGATTCAGGACGGGGATGGGGCTCAAGAAGGCTCTGAGTTCAAACCTAGTACCTACCCCTTCTCAGCTTAAAAAGATGAGTGTTTTGTTATGGTTTGTGGCATTAGAGGGTAGGAAGTCTAAGAAGATGGTCTCTTCTTGTGATAGGGAGTCAGGTGAGTACCTGGTGCTCCTTCAACTCATGACAGAAAGTAAAAGGAAAGTGGATACAACTGGAAGAGAGGAAAGTAGTCAAACTCGCACCATGCCAACCTGTTTTCACAAGATAAACATTAGTTTGTTGCTGAGGGCTCTGGCCTGTGACCTGAACACCTCCCACCAGGCTGCCTCCCCATTCTGCCACATTGGGAACCAAACTTCGTCATGAGTGTTGGTGGGGACAAACTATATTCAAACAACGCAGATGCCTATAAAAGGCATATAAGCCAAAGTGGCTATATCTTACTCTATATGACTGAGCACTGTGTCAATCCATATGGTACAGTTGTAGGAATTTCTTGGCAGTTATAGACTGTGTTATAATTAGAATTTGTTGTAACAGAGACATTGCTATTCAAAAAAATTGACAATGACACTAGTGATAATGATTATAGCTAACATATATTAATTATTTACATGTGACAAGCACTGTTTCAAGGAATTTATATATGTGCAAATCACTGTTACTAAATTATATAGCTAAATATGAATGTATTTCCTGTTAGAATAAATAATGGGAAAAGGGAAAGAACACAACAAATTGATGGGTTGATAAATTGAATAAATTTAATCTATAAATATTGTTCTTTTTATAAATTGAATAAATTTAATCTATAAATATTGTTTATTTTCATATAACCAGGAAAATACATATGTACTATACACTGTGGGAAATGTTACTGTTTTACACTGACAATTGAAAACTTGTTAATTAACATATGCTAGAAAGTAAAAATAAATTAAGTTTATGCAATAATATTTGGGGAGTGTGATGTGGAGCTATTCCAAGCAGAGCAGCAGCTTGGATGTTTTTTTTCCTTCTTTTGCTGTATTTCTACACCCTCACAACAGCCTGATAGATTAAAAATATGTCTGTGTAATTTTCCTGTCTTGGTTCTGGTTTTCAAAATGTGACTGTGAAGCCAAGCACTGGTGGCTCACCCCTGTAATCCTAGCTATTCAGGAGGCTGACATCTGAGGATCTTGGTTTGAAGCCAGCTGGTGCAGGAAAGTTCATAAGACTCTTATCTCTGGTTAATCATAGGAAAAAAAAATCCAGAAATGGTGCTGTGTCTCAAGTGGCAGAGCACTTGCCTTGAGCAAAAGGAGCTCAGGAATGGAGCCCAAGCCCAGAGTTCAAAGCCCCAGGACCAGGGATAAAAAGTGGCTGTGTAGCTTTCCTACCTTGGTTCTAGAGAACTGGAGTTGATAAAAATTGTAGCTATAAGCATTTGGCTTTGGGTGCCACTGATGCAGCCCAAGCATATTTTACTAGGAATCTCCTTTAGCATAGCTCCTTGCAGGAATGTATACCATTTCTCCTAGTTCCAATATTCATTGATTTGGCTATTCAATGGTAAGTCAACTTTTGTATCTCCTCTATTTTAAATTTGCAATCTGTTGATCATTTGCAGAATTACATTCCATAGTGTGTGTGTGTGTGTGTGTGTGTGTGTGTGTGTGTGTGCGCGCGTGCCCATGTGCACGCATCCCCTACTATTATGTATGTTATCTTCTAGAAATTCTCTGGTACTTCCTCAGAATCATTTCTGTATTGGCATACTTGTGCAATAGTTGATCAAAGAAGTTCTGAGAGAGAAGCGAGGTTCAGATAATAAAGGCTGAAGTTATTGATACACTAAAGAGAAAGGGTCTCTGGGGAGGTGGTACCAGAATGAGAAACTAGATAGTGTTCTAATAAATTGCGATTCTTATGAGGTCTTGTCCATCGTGCAACAACTGTAACCAGGGACCTGAGATCTATCAGAGGCTTGGTGTCCAAACATACATACTGTGGGCAGAGTTCACCAAAGCCTGGAGTCGGGACTGTGGTGATAGAAAGAGCCCGGGAGACGAGAAAAGCCCAGACGAGAAGCGCTGGATCCAGCTTCTTTGGCAGATGGAAAAGAGGCTTGTAAAAGAGGGTGAATGTGGAAAAGAGACTGCAAATGCCATGAGAGAATGATGCGATGTGTCAACGTGAACTGGCCCCGGTGGAATTTGAGAGTGTTTTTCTATAATGAGTTAATTTGCATGCAGTTTTTCTTGCAGAGACACATTGTGAGTGAAGACTCTGGAGCTTCAAATGTGCATTTCATTCTGTTGTGTTATGGTGGTTTTGTGTATGAGTGTGTGTGTGTGTGTGTGTGTGTGTGTGTGTGTATTTGTGTGTTACATTTGAAAAATGAATGTTTCAGACAAATACAAGAGCTGAGCTTCCTGCTGTTCAATTCTCAAATTTAAAAATTCCAAAAATTAGCCTGATAGGTTCTTTGTCCTCTCATTTTCTCATGGATATCTAATCTAGAGGAATTTTTCCTTTTTAAGCAAGACATCAGTTGAAATAACCAATATTTTATATTTACATTTTGTTATATTCTGAGAATCTTTAGGATGTCATTATAATATAGCTTATTGAATATAATGTCATAAAATGATGTTAGAAGTTTTCATTTTTATAGGTGTGATTGACAGATATAATATAAGTCATTTTGGATGGCAATAAGTTGCAGTAAAAATATAACAACACTCTGAACACAAATATACCATGATAGTAATAACTAAATACATTTTAGGCTAATAACTTTTCTGATATGTCTTAGACCACGACAGGAAGCTCATTAAGCTAGATAATATAATAAGTAGATAAAGCTGGGAATTCTAGAAGTATAAGTGTGTGGTGTATATTGTGCTTATGATGTAATACCCTCCTAGGGTATACTTGCTCCTCTACTCCACTGTCTTCCCCTTCCTTCTTATTTTTCACAATTCCATTTAGCTCAGGCTGACCTACAACTCATAATATTCCTGCTTCGGCCTTACAAGCATATCCCTTTCTGGGATTATAATCATATGACATCACATCTGACTTCTAATTTCTTT